TAATTTCGTTTTTACAATAATTAATTAAAAAATTATGAAGAATTTCGGCTATGAAATGAAATCAATAAAAATTTTGAAAAAAAAAAGTTAGCTCTAAAAAAAGAAACTTAATGAGCCACAAATGAATGCAAAAATATACAAAGTATTAATTATTCAAATCTAATAATTATAATTGAGGAAAATCATAATTAATATATCTATATAACTATTATTGGCATAAAATCATTCTGCAACAATGAAAATCTTTTCTTAACTTTTTTTTCCAAGAAGAAAAATATTCCATCTTTTCAATATTACCATTTGTAAATATTTAAAAGAGGAAGAAGTAGGAAGGAGAGAGAGGGAAAGAAAAAAGAATGAAGTATAAAAGAAATGATAGGAACTTTATCACGCTACTGTCATTATCACCAAGAATTAGCAATCAGTTGGATATTCTTACAATTGCAATCGTTATTGCAATTGGTATTAGAATGATGATATTTGCCCTGAAGGCGAATGGACAGCTGTGAGGTTGAACATTTGAAGTGTAGGAATGATATTTTCGAGAGCAGAAGATGAGGATGAAAGTCCGATCATTTTGTCAGCTGGCAGTCTTCTCCAAAACACTCTTTCTTTCTTCTTCAGTTGAGGTTGTTCAGCAATGTATGTCTGTTTAACATCGATAGATAGGTATCCTCTCTCTAATAAGTGTATATATTTAATAATGTTTCACTAATTACCTAAGAAATAATATCTAACATTAATATATTAGTGTATTAGACAAGGTAAGATTATTACGATAGATAATTGAATACGATGTATTAGCCAGGCAAGATTAATGATAGGAATGATAGGAATAGGATAGAAAAATATTATATTTATTATTTGTATTATTTTGAATTTTATTTTACAGCGATAATTTTGCGGCACAATATTTGAGTATATATATAATTGAATTATGTTCATTTTAAGCCTTATCAAATTGATCAATTGGATTATTATGCAATATTTGGACGAAAATTTGCTTATTCAAATTTTATTTTAAGCAAATTGCTAAAAGGAAGACGATTGTTCGCATTAATTCACACTAATTCTCTCAATATAGTAATTAAGCTATCGTGTAGTAACGGTACTTCTCCTGATGGACGGGAAGTTATGCAACCGATGGAAATGTTTTCCAATATTATAAAATTATTGGTACAACAACATTATGCTACTACTATTATCAGCATTAGCATTCTTGCTATTCCCGATTTATACAAGTGCAGCAGCAGCTAATGGGAATGGCAACGGATGTGATGATCAGTGTGATCATTATGGTGATACTGTTGCTTATGAAAATTGTATGAAGAAATGCTTATCTGAACGATTTACAACCAATACTTTCACTACCAGACGTATTATTCTTTCTTTTTTAATAGTTAATAAAATTGTTTAATTGAAGAATGCAGCTAATTTATTAATTAAATCACATATGGTAAATATGAATGTAATTTTTATATTATTAATTATCGATTTAAAAAAAAGAAAAAATGCTGAAATTAATTCAAACGATATCAATTTCTATTTAATTTTAGGATATCCATCGCCACCGTTTAATATTAGTGTTGATACGATTGCAATTATTGGTAATGTGAAATTTTTAGAATCAACTGTTAATTGGGATTTTGAACCTGGTGAATTTTATATTTTAACTTGAATTTTTAAAATTAATTAGTTAGTAATAATTCTTCTTTCTTTCTTTTTCCAATCATTCATTTCATCACAGATTTTTTTTCCTGTCATCTTTACTTTATTCAAGAAAATCAAAACTGTTCCATCAGAAAAATTTAGCATCTCTTATAAATGAATTAAAAATATTTTCATGTCCAAATAAATACATATCGACATTTGGCTCGGAAAAAAAATTAAATCTTTATTTGAAAACATTTATTGTTATCATTATTATTATTGCTATTATTATTTATTACTATTACTATTATCATTACTATTACTATTATCATTAC